TATATATATATATATATATTTATATATATATATATATATATATATATATATATATATATATATATTATATATTATATATATATATATATATGTAACAGCATTTGCTTACAGCACCCGGATATTAGTGTAAACAGGACTTAGACGTCAGTTACACCTCTGGAGAATATTTAAAAAGGAGCACAAAGCAGGTAAATTAAATAAAAATTTGTAACATGTGACACAGAGATTATGAGAGATTGGAACACTCGCTGTTTGGGTAGCAACCGCCCGTGTATGGATCAGCAGCCAGCATCCAACAAGTCATCTTCTCTAAAAATTTCTCTCTCCTCAAGGAAGGTTTCATGAATGCAAAAAAGAAAGGTTAACACAATACGTAGTAGAAGAGAACAATGGTAATATAGCACCCGGGGATGGGGAGGATATAGATTCGATCTGAAAAAAATAGAAAGGTTAGTTTTAATTCACCAGCATCAGTACATCTCTCTACCTACACTCTCAAGAGCATACTATCCCTGTGTTCTCGTAGATAAATTATAATTAGACCGAAGATAAGGAAGATAACATCAAGTACTACTTTTGTATCTAATTAGTGTCAACTCAACAGTGTAGTACCAGAATCAAGCTTTGTGAGGAGGCAAGACACAGTTGTGCCGCTGGTCGTCCATATTATGTGTGGGCGCATAGGTAAATTTTCCGGACTTGGATTTAGAATCAAATCTGCATAAATTCTCTGTTGTACCTCCAGCAGCGTCTTAGTGTCGTCGTAAGTATATTGAACAGTGTCTTGAGCAGCGTGTTGAACAGTGTCTTGAGCAGTGACTGCGTTTGATAAACCATTTAGATTCTCCGTGATATACTAATTCATTATTGAAATTCCTTGATTATAATTTAATGCATCATCTCCCAACATAGTCAAAGACTCTAAGGACTCCCACCACCACGTAATTGTGGGAAGCAGCTGTATTCGAAGCTGGAGGACTGCCTAGTACACGAGTCAGATCAGGGTTTCCCTCACCTTACGTTGTTTTAAATTTTTTAACTTTGTTTTTATACTGTCAGAGCTGTCTATTAACATTTTTGGGGACTATTGTGGCCATCTAAACCTATTAAAAATCAGTAATATTACTGCATTATTCCTAAATCGATAAGAAAAGGGAAAACGAAATTGTGGAAAAAAAGGTCCAGTGTTGAATAGGGTACATATGTGTTTTGATGCAAAAGGTATGTGAAAATAGTCATAATACGACGATTGGTTAAAAAGAAGATTGTATAACTAATGTATGATGTGATAACAAATTTTGAAAGGAAATGCTCTTCGGTTTAACATTAACCCCTCACTACAACTTATCCGGGATGAATTGTAGTGAGTGTTTGTTTAATTTTACGTAATTACATCAAGGTGCTGTTGTTACGCAGCCACCGTGACCACACAGCTTCATGTAATAATAATGGCTAAATTAATGACAATACGGTCACGGCAGAACTAACATAATATATATCGACGTTTGCGACGGACTTAACTGGATGTTATATATTATATCGACGTTCACGACGGCTTCCATGAGGTTTAGTTTGCAGACTTGATCGAACATAACCGGAAAAACACGAGATTCCCTGGCATAAAAAGCATTCCCGTGAATTTTCAAATCTAGTGGATAATTTTACTGTATAACATATTTGTTTTGAGGTAAAACTCAAAAAAGTTCTCTGCGCCCTACTCTGGTTAAACTTAGCAGAGCATCAAGAGACTCTCTGGTATAATGAGCAATCCTGCACTTTTATATAACATTGTTTAAGGTTGTGCACAACAGACTCCACTAAATAGCTATCGAGTTTGTACAGTCCATAGTTGAATTATTTACGGCAGGGCGCCAGATAAATGTACCCAACAGTTCCATCATGGAAAGAAACATAAGTGAGTCCTCTTTAAACATGATAGGAAAAGCCGTAAATAAATTCAAATTATGGACTGTACAAACTCGATAGCTATTAGTGGAGTCTATTGTTTCACAGCCTTAAACAATGTTATACAAAAGGCAGGAAATTTATCTTATACCAGAGAGTCTCTTGATGCTCCTGCTAAGTTTAACCAGAGTAGGGCGTCAGAGAACTTTTTTGAGTATTACCTCAAAACAAATACGTATACAGTAAAATTATCCAATAGATTTGAAAATTCACAGAATCCAGAAAAACACATGGAGCATTCAGATTCAAAATAGTTTATTGATTCCATTTGAATGAAGAATAGTCATACAAACTGAAAAGTCTGTATTATACGCGATAAAGCAACTTTAAAAATAAAATACAAAATTAACAAGATAATAAAATGAAAAATAAACTGCATGAAATAAAAAACAGTCACAGACATATTTAATAAAAATCTCATTGGTCATCGAAAGTCTTAAACCTACTAACATAAACAATGAACTTCCATTGACTGCAAGGAGAGACAATTACTGATAGTGAGATAGGACACTAGGCCAAAAGTTAGGTGATGGTACGTCAACAATGGAATGTGTGGTTGTCGTGCCGGCTTCCAAGTCACTGCTGATGCGGTGTTGCCAGCCGCTGCAATCCTTACATCAATGCTAACTTAAGAAATGGTCCCTAAAAATTAGATTTTTAATTCTATTAAGAGACTACAAATTATGTGTTTGAAAAAATATAACTTTCGTAATTTGCCTTATTTATTAAAGAATAATTTTTTTGTACAATTCCATATTTATATTTATTGAGCCTTTATTACCCCCGAGATTTTCATTTTTACCCCATTTAGGGTAATTTACCCCAGTTTCCCGAACATCATGGTACTCCCCTCGTGAGCGTCTATATAATACATAACATCCTGTTAACTCTGTTGCGAAAGTCGATATATAATATGTTAGGTCTGCCGTGACCATCGACATAATGTGTAACCCACCCAGCTACTGCTACATACAGGTACTGTAATGCTACAGGTGGTCTAGGTGGTGTGCTGCTATACAGACTGCAACTTGAGTGATATAACATTACTTGTCATGAGGGTTCATTTAGGTATGGGTGCACATGTGTGATTGCAACATGTTGAGTAGAACTAGTTTAGTGGTTTGCTGAATTAGGCTATTAGTAATATAATAATGATATGGGTGGCGTTAACAGCCTTATTCGGCAAGAAGACCGTTGTTATTTAAGCCAAAATAGTAAGCTTTACCTGTTCGGCACGACATATATATATATATATATATATATATATATATATATATATATATTAATATATATATATATATATATATATATATATAGTAACATAACACATGCGCTAGCCAAGGAATCGAACCCATGTTGTACTGGTCTGCCTCATGGTAAGCGAGAACCACATGACGCTTTAAACCACAGGTCCACCCAACCCTACAAGAATGGCGCAGCCAGCCCTCGGATGGCGACCCAACAGCTGCATTGCTGGCTGCGCCATTCTTGTAGGGTTGGGTGGTGCTGTGGTTTAAAGCGTCATGTGGTTCTCGCTTACCATGAGGCAGGCCAGTACAACACGGGTTCGATTCCTTGGCTAGCGCAGTGTTGTTATTGATATATATATATATATATATATATATATATATTATATATATATATATATATATATATAACATGTAAATTCATATGTATACGAATACATGTGCGTATATACGTCCATCTTATTCAATCAACCCAGAATTTTCACAAATAACGTGCACAGAGGAGAAAGAAACTTATGACAACGTTCCACTCTGACCTGAGCCATTAACTAGTCGCACACTAACAGGGATGATGGATGAAGCCAGTTGGTTGAGAAACTCAGAAATTATTGCATGAAAATCAGTATTTCAATTTTCCCCTGTTTCATCCAAAAAAAAAAAGAAGTAAATTTTTACCTGTAAAGGTTAAAATTAATCCTACGTATTCTCTAATTAAGGTTGACCAACAGTCATTAATTGAATAGGTAGTTAACTCAGTTTTATTGAAGTTTTGGGTATAACATACATTTTCTTTTTTAAGTAAACCAGCACTCAAAGTTGGAGATCCTCAAGTTGGAGACCCTACAGTTGGAGACCCTAAGTTGGGGGCCCTACAGTTGGAGACCCTACAGTTGGAGACCCTCCAGTTGGAGACCCTACAGTTGGAGACCCTAAGTTGGGGGCCCTACAGTTGGAGACCCTACAGTTGGAGACCCTCCGGTTGGAGACCCTACAGTTGGGGACCCTACAATTGGAGACCCTACAGTTGGAGACCCTACAGCTGGAAGCCCTACAGTTAGAGACCTTACAGTTAGAGACCTTAAAGTTGGAGACCCTCTATTTTGGAGACCCTGCAGTTGGAAACCCTACAGTTGAGACCTTAAAGTTGGAGACCCTCCAGTTGGAGACCCTCATTTGGAGACCCTATCAGTTGGAAACCCTCCAGTTGCAGACCTACAGTTGGAGATCCTCCAGTTGGGGACCCTCTTATTTGGGAGGGACCCTACAGTTGGGAAACCCTACAGTTGGAGACCTACAGTTGGGGCCCCTTACAGTTGTTGACCTACAGTTGGAGACCCTCGTTGGAAACCCTACAGTTGGAGACCCTATAGTTGGGGACCCTACAGTTGGTAGACCCTACAGTTGGAGATCCCTCCAGTTGGGGACCCTGCAGTTGGGACCCTACAGTTGGAGGACCCTACAGTTGGCCCCGGGACCCTACATTTGGGGGAAACCTTACAGTTGGAGATCTTCCAGCTTAGATGTGTTCAAGGTCACTTTTCAAAGTAACGTGTACAATACACAGGGTATTATGATTGTTTTCTGACTGCAAATATTGATTTTCTCATTGTACTTCACTTTTTTTGAGTACGATGCATTTAATGCTTTACTGATTCATATCCTCTCTCAGTTCACCTTATCCTTTAGAGAACGAATGAGCTTACAAGCAAGTGCTCTATAACCCCTTCATGGCCAGCGCTTCCAAATGAACTTAAAATTATAAATGTTTCTACTTTCCGTTTCTCTTAGGCGAGTCCAGGAACTTGCCGGTATAAAGGCAAGCAAGGGAAGAAAAGACTGATAGGCAGACACAAGCATCGAGCATCATGGTGGAGGGCAGAGCCGCGGTGGCCGCCAGTGCTGGGATCTTCCTGCTGCTGTTGGCAGTCTTTGTCACACTCATTGGTTAGTAATATAGTCATTTTCCTAAGTCATTTGTGAGGTTAGTAACGTAGACACAACCTCCTCCCTAGTAGGCACTTACACGCGCGAGCACACACACACACACCACACACACACACACACACACACACACACACACAACACACACACACACACACACACACACACACCACACACATATACACACACACACAACACACACACACACACACACACACACACACACCACACACACACACACACACACACACACGCACATGCACATACACATACACATGACTTAATAGGAATAAATGATGAAGTGTTAAATCAAGTAAAAATCTAATGATGTTATGCAACATATAAAGAAAAATAACACAAGCAAGTCCCACTTTACAGCGCTTCGCTAATGCAGCGGTTTTCAATTATCCTCAATCTTCACTTATTCAGACTTCCTACAATAAACATATTCCCCTCTTACTATAAGATACGGAAGAAAATATTTCAAGGTCAGTAATAAGTGTACTGTATGTACATTTTTTAGCCTAGTTCTATTGCTCATTTAATAATTGATGTTATCAGGCTTTTATATGTGTTTGAAAGTGAAAAACAAAGGCATGTATCACTTTACAGCTAACCTGCTGTATAAGCGGGGTCCTCCTGTAAAGATTTAATCACTCTCTAGATGATACAAAATCAGAGAAAGGAATAAAACATATATAATTCTAATATGAATGTCTGCTTTGTGAATATGAATAAGTAGAGCAAATACATGAACAAATAAGAGGATGAGGTAAAACAAAAGTCCGCCATTATTAACAGAAACACTGAGAATAATGAAGCAATTTTACATAACAGTAAGTTAATAAAGAAAATTGTTGAAATGCACTAAACTGCCATTGTTTTTGGCTGCATTGAGAATAAATATATCAAACGGTGCCCGTGGTCTGGTGGCTAAAGCTCTCGCTTCACTCGGCGAATGTCTGGGTTCGATTCCCAGCGAGGGTAGAAACATTGGGCGTGTTTCATTATACCGGTTGTCTATCTTCACCCATCAGTAAAATAGGTACCTGGGAATTAATTGACATGTGTGGGTCGCATCCTGGGACAAAACTGACTTAATTTGCCCGAAATGCTCTGCCTAACAAGCGGCTTTCTATATAGTAGTATGTCACTGATGTCAGCTAGGACTGTATACCTTGTACATGTACTTGTAGTAAATAAAGATATTATTATATCATTGTTATTATTATTATTATTAAGGCTCGAAAGAGATAAAAAAATGAATCATTCAGAACACTAAGTAGAAATGTAACGACCTCGGAGCAAAGCTGGAACTCGTTAAGATTAAAGGAGATTGTGATAGCATCCTTACGTGGTTTGAAATGCACTGTGTGACAGCTGACAAGGGACTGATACCCTACTGTACAAGTAAAATAAACTCATGAAGGCGATAGCACTTGGCTATCACGTAATGTATACTCCTCTGGGTTACAGATAGGTAAATACACCTATCTTTCCTTTATCGTACCTACGAACAAGTACAAAAACTTCTAATGCATAAATTATATGACAATCGGCCAGAAATATATACACCAAGTGGTGTATACTTATTGTTATGCATACACTGCAAATATGCTTTAATTCCTATTTTAGGTATTGAAGCATTCTTGACTAGCTGTCAAAAGGTGACATGCAGCCTTAATGACCCTTTCAGTATTCAATAAGTTTTAAGCATAATTAAACAACCTACTGACTTCGTTCTCCTTAAGAGTAAAAATAATGACATCTTGCTCATTGTTTCAGTGGTGTCTTTGGAAACAGGCAGTGTGAACCCCGAGGATGTAATCCTTCAGCAGGCCAGCAAGGACCCATCACTGCCACCCTCAGGTACAGTGGCCACCTCTTTGCTAGGGCTCAGGGATGAGAAGGAAAGGTGGAAGGACATTTTGAAAGTGTACTTGCATATTTGTAATTACTTATCGGTTAAAGAGATCAGATTCAACTCCTGGTCCAGACTGTTAACTTGTCAATGCCTGATTCACTTTCTCCTAACCTCGCGAGCCCCGTCACATTTCTCCAAAGCTCTGAATGAAGACAGTCACCTTCACTTCTTCATCCAGTCATTTCACTTCCTGACCACCCAGTATTTCTTGGCATCCCTGTGACTCATCTGTGTCTATAATATCCAACTGTGCCTTCATTTAACCCATTTCACTCTGCCTAACCACCTGCCCATGTCCACTATATCAAATTCTCTGAATCATTTACACAGCGTTATCAGGTCTCCCTCAGCTGTTCTATCCTATAAAGTCACGTTCAGTCCATTTAATCATTCTTCATAGTACAATCCTCTTAGCTGCTTTACTAATCTGTTGTGAACCTCTTGTATATCCCTAATTGTAACACCAAAAATTCGGTTACAGGGGTCGTCTCCGCTGGCGATACTGGAAAACTGGTGTGGACCCTCCCCTTTACCATTTTGCTCTTAGACATTCCACTTTCTGATAATTTAAAGGCAAAAAAAAGATTTTCCCCAAACACGCTGATTCTTTTTTTTTAAGTTTCACGTGCATATTTGAGCTAAGATTCGTGTCTCCAGCAGACTGCCGTCATTTTCTCAGTCCTGTCACAATTGTATGTCACTCATGCATCCAGGGTTTTCCTCTAATATCGTCAGGTTTAGCTCTTTAGCCTTCCCCCAACTCATATCCCCCCGTCGGCACTGTCTTATTGGGAAAACTTTTCATTTTTCAACTGCAGGTTACTTGGAAAAAAATGGTTAAAAAACCGACAAATGGAAATATAAAAAACATATGCATTTCCCCCCCCACGTGGGGTTTTTTAAAATCACAAAAACCCGGGGTGGGAAGGGGACTGAGTATTATAGTCAGGTTCAGAGTGGTCGGTGGAAATGCTGATCTGTGATGTACCCAGTGGGGTTATAGAGTTTTAAAAACTTGGGGGCTTGGAAGGGGGATTGGATAAGTTTGTGGCAACCCGCAGTGTTCCCCATTCCCATGCTCTTATGTGGGAAGCGTGAAGAATTGGGAAAATGGAATTGGAAGATCAATGAATCGCAATTTTTCCCGCGCAAAGTACCTCCCACAAGCCACGATCTCTTGCGCAGGAAAATTGACGATTCACTTGATCTTCCTATTCCAGCCAGCGATTTCATAGACCTTGTTGAACTATGTGTTTCTCTTTCGAAAATCACCTCTTTCAACAGATTTTTGGATTTACCCATGGGTTCGCCATCAGTGCCGTCCTGGCGAAGCTATACATGGAACATCTGGAAGCCGAGCTTTTTCTCCACCATTATTCCTTCGTCTGTCACCTGGCTCCGTTATGTTTGACGAAATTCTCCTCATAACTCCTAGACGCTTCAACGTTCAAAGCTCTCCAAGCCCAAGCTAAACCCAGGTCGAGCCCTAAATCCAGTTCACACTTGAAGAAGAAGTCGACAACACTCTTCCTTTCCTTGTGTTTCTTTTTCTGCAAAGCTGACCATGAACTTCGTTTTAAAGTCTATGGGAAACCCACCAACCAAAAGATCTTCTCCCACTTATTTACTCTCACCACGACACCAAAAACTAAACGTGGTGTATTTATAGGCTTTTTCCTGCGCGCACTCAGAATCTGCAGCAATGAGTTCCTTTGGGAGGAAGAATGCACTATAATTGACCAAGTATTTTCCAAACTTCACTATCCTCGTCACTTTATCAGAGACTGCAGACGACGGGCATTAAACATCTTCAAAACACCCAGAGAAGACACTGCCGAGAGAGATACATAGTCCTCCCACCAACTCCATTGCCAAACACGTTTCCTACATCTTTCCAATACCTCATTCCAATTTATCTACCTCCAAAACCCACGCCCATCAAGGACATTACAGTAATAGACAGACAAGCTTCCATCCTCTGCAGGGGTATACATAATCCCTTGTAATGACTGCAGCAAATTATACGTGGGCGAAACATCAAGAGACCTCCAAACACGTATTTCAGAACACCAATACGCAAGCACGTCTGACGATACAAGGAATGCCTGTGTACAACACCGAAATTTCACACAACCATTTAATAAACTACAGAAACTCAAGACTTATCACAGAAGACAACACTCAATACAGAAGAATCCTAGAATCATCGCTTATCTCTATATCCAACAACTTCAAACAGAACAATGGCTTCTATAACCATAGCTGAACCTCTTGCCAAGAAACTTCTTCATCGCTATCCCACATAAGAACATAGGAAGGAGTAACACTGCAGGTCCCGCTCACAAACTTATCAAATCTCCCTTCCAAGCTTTCCCAAGATTTTAGACTCTATAATCCCACTCGGTAGATCATCAGATGCAGCATTCTCCACCTGACCACGCATTCTGAACCTGACTTTTAAATACTCACGTACCTTCACCCCAGGTAGATCTGTTTGTGACTTGAAAAAGCCCACTGTGTGGGCGGGAAAAATTGTCAATAAAGGGTCACATTATACTGCTATGTGCAGGTTACTTACTGGCGTTACATACTCGAAGATAATCCTCACATATGTGGTATATAAAGGGCGTGAATGCCTGCTTGTGACGTTCCTGAAGGTTTTCTCTTAAATTTGTCAGGTCTCGTGTTTGCTGTAGCGGGATAAACGGTGATGTTTCCTCAGGGGAAAGCATCTATGCACCCTCCCAGGTCCTCCTCCTTCAAAGCTTTGAAACCCACTCCAGTATGCCTGTACTGTTACCAGTCGTCTTTGCCCTTCCATGAGTTTTATTAATAACGAAGGTTCCTGTTAGAAGGATGGTGACCCACAACTTTTGCTTGAGTAGGCGCAAATTTGAAAATGTAAGGAAATAGTTAAAAACTGGAATAGTCGGACCCAGATTAATGCCTTACCAGATCGGTTTCAAACTTTAATCATTAGTGGGTTCTATTAAACCTAAGCTATCACTCACTTTGAGCTGTGTAAATTTAATTTGCCAGTTTCATTAAATAAATTGTTACCAATATAAATAACCAAAAG